GCGACGGCGACGGCGACGACGACGACGACGACGACGGACGACGACGACGACGACGACGACGACGACGACGACGACGACGACGACGACGACGACGACGACGACGACGACGACGACGACGACGACGACGACGACGGCGGCGACGACGACGACGGCGACGACGACGATGACAATGATGTCAGTTTCTTGTCAGTGATGGGGATCGATCCCCGTATAAGGCATATCTTTATGCCTCCGAGGAAACGCGAGGGCACGACACACGAACAACACGACACGGCACTCGCCGCAATTTTCCCGCAGGCGGAAAAGGGCACGCGCGGGCGCGGTGTGCACTATGTAGCGCGGAAGGAAAGGACGCACGGGCGGCGGCGGTGGAGGTAAGGAGGAGGAAGGGGGATGGGGAGAAGGAAGAGGAAAGGAGTTGTGTCGAGGGAGCTGGCTGACTGTCAAAGTTCGACGGACGACGCCTCTCGCGAATCAATCCCCATGCCAGCCTAACCTCTCACCGAGTTGTCTGCCTCGTCCTTCCAGGCGTGTTCCCTCAAAAGACGTCGAACACGCAGCAAGGCGTCGTAAAAGGATGCGGTACGTTACGACACCGTGTCGAGGAGTCGTATCCGAAATCACTGCTGCTGATTGCGCTTCTCTCACTCGTCCGCCTGAAGCGGCGAACCGGCGGTGTTGACGTTCGTCGTCACGGGAGCGATAGGAGGAATCGAACAGTCGGCGCAGCGTTATACGGCGTCGTCGATCCGGACGATCCCATAGCAATTTCGATTTGCCTCTCACGGCTGGCTGCTGCCGCCAAGACGCTGGATGCCGATGGTGCAGTCGACAACGACGAAAATCGCGCGGCTCACGCTCTGCCGACGCGGCGCAGCACGGCATCACCGTGGTGGCGGCGACGGTGGCGGTCGTTCTTGTGTGCGGTTGCTGTGCTATTGCCGCTCCTGCTGCTGCTGTTGCTGTTGCTACCGGTGCGAGTATTGTTAGTGCTGCGAGCGCGTTCCGCGGTCGTCAGCTCCTCCATTACGTGCCGCGGCTGAGGAGCACCGCAAAATTTACGCAAGCAAGCGAGCAACTCGATCACGACTCGCGACTCAATTCGGAGCGCAGTCTCAGAAACCTTCGTTCGTCCGTACGTCGATTCTCGGACAGGCAACGGCGTACGTCGAGATTCCCTAGAAACACACACGCACGTATCCTATTATCCACTTATGTGAGTCACACGCGTACGTCTCGCCTTCCGTCGCGCGCGTTCCTTGATGCATCCGCAAATGGAGCGGAGTTCACTTCGTGCATCTCATCACCAACGCGCGATGTCAATCGGTGCTGATACACGAGTTCCTCGCTTTCTTTCTTTTT